GAACAAGGAACACGGACTAGGAAAATCCACGGATAAAGAGGAAATAAGCGAAAATAAGGTAAGAGAACACGCATACTATAAGACAAAGGAAGAAAGCGAGGCGTTATACGTAGCAGAATTGGAAAGTGGCGAATACACAATATGCGTAAGCTTAAATAAAGAAAAATTATCAAATAAGAGGAAATATAACCTGGTAAAGATATATAACATAATTAATATTCTAGGTGCAAGAATAAGAGAAATAAGGATGGTGGCTTTTTCAAGAGTGGAAATTACACTGGGTACAAGAAGACAAGCCAACAGAATAATAGAATATGGGAGAAAAAAGGAGGCGGGATACGAAGCATATATCCCAAGGAGGAAACGTACCACAAGAGGGGTTACGAAAGAGTGGGAAGGCACATTGGAAGAGCTCTAAAATTGCGTAATGACTGGACAAGGAGACTTTGAAGCCCAAAGATTGAAAAGGAGAAGACTGAGGGGTGGAAAAGCTCTCTGGGAAGACAGCGACGCTGTATTACTAACATTCAAGGGGGATTCCCTCCCGACGAGGCTCTACATCGGGCAGGGCCATGTGTGGCTAAAGATAGAACCATTCATAGAAAGTGTAAAACAATGCTTCCGGTGCTTCCGATACGGTCACCTGCAGGCAGTATGCAAATCAAGGTTCCGCAGATGTAAGATGTATAGTGAAGACTTCCACGGGGACTGCAAAAAAGAACAAAAATGTATCAATTGCGGTGAGGCGCATAGGTCAAACGCAAGAGAGTGTCTCACCTTTCAAAGGAAAAGTGAAATAAAGAAGACTATGGCGTAAGCCAGAGAAATCCTGAGAGATAAGTATACAGGAAGAAGGTTTGATTTAGATATTGAAAGAGAGAAGGATTTCCCAAAACTAAGAACGGAGCAAAGGGGTAAAAGGGACAAATGGGAGAGACTAAATGTCCCAGAAAGAAACAGAGGACAAAATGTGTGGAACAGAGATACGGGCTACCGTAGGAACCAAGAAAGGGTTTCAAGTGACGAAAGCGAAGGAGGAAGGAAGTATGGTGGAGAGGACACGAGAGGCACCTTCAGATATCGAGACCTAAATGAAGAAAGAGAAATTAGAAAAGCCCAAAGAGAGGGAAGAGTGGGAATAATGAATCGAGTACCACACGATAGAGTGAGACCTTGGGTGAATATCGCCCAAAAATAAACATATATGAAGGATACAACCATGAGGAGGAGATGAAAAAGAAGCGGATTACTAATAGAATAAGAGGAGAAAATTATAAGTTGCTGGACGAAATTAGAGACAAGCCAGATGAGGAAATAATGGAACAAATCATAACCATTATCAGAGAAAGGAACCTGGTAAAAAATCTTGAAGAAAAAATACGTAAGGAAAAGTACCGGAAGGAAAATGAAATCCCAGTCGACTCCGAAGAAGACTGGTGGGGTAACGGACCTCATTACGAAACCATTATCCCAGAGAAAGAGGCGAAACGATTCGCTAGACAAAAAAAACGAAGTGAAGAAATAAAAAGACTGAACGAAGAAAAAGAAAGAGAGAAACATGAAGTAGGAAAGGGTGTGGAAATGGAAGAGGACGACAGGCCAAAAACTCCTCCACCACCGGCTTTGGAAAAGGAAGTCCAGACGGTGGAAATAGAAGTTAAGGATGTCGAACCAACCATGGATAAGGAAGTTGGACAGGAAGAAAAAGAGATCAACAAGAATTACATTCCAACAGATCTACATCTGTGACTGGAAATAAATACATAAATTATAATAACTGTACAGTTAGTAGTAAGGTATCAATTAATATCTATTCTTCGTCCATAATTATATTACCCAGTTTCAAAAAAAAAAAAAAAAAAAACAAATATAAAATCAAAAATACCAAAAAGAAGAATTATTTGCTAGATATAAGGTACAATCTATATAAATACATACATACTCAGTAGAACTAACAAAGGTAGCCTTAAGAGATAAAAATAAAAAAAAAAAAATAAAAACTGCATACTATCTGACACTAATACAAATGCTAGTAGGTATCTGGAATGCAAGGAGTATGAGAGGCAAAACCGCCGAAATAAAAGCAATGATTGATGAATACGATATCCTCGCAATAATGGAAACATGGTTGTATCCGGAATTTGACCTGCACTTTAAAGGATATAAAGTGATAAGAAGAGACGCTTTGGATAGCAATAACAGAGGTAATAGAAGAGGAGCGACGAAAGGAGGACTCTGCTTCATTATCAGGGAACAAATAAAGACGAAAGAAAAGACATTGATAGACAATACACATATGGAAACTTTGGCGATTACTGTTGGGAGTGGTGCGCAAAGTGTCGACCTGATATTGGTATATAGAAATCCAGCGACAAATACGTCGCGCATACAGTGGAAGAACCTGATGGAAAATGTGGAAGAAAACTCCAAAACAATAATCATGGGCAACATGAATGCGAAAAACACGGGATGGAACTGTGTGGAGAATGACACGCAAGGGACAAGACTGGAAAACGTCCTTGATGAAAAAGATCTATTCGTGGCGAATCGAGACACCCTGTCACGCCCCGCTTCGGGCTCTCGTAGGGCCTCAAATATCGACTTAATAATCACAAACTTTGAAATGTTACAGATAATAAACACTGAAAACTCAGGATTAACGCTGGGGTCTGACCACCAAATCATAAATTTGAAACTTGAAATGAGCGTACCACCTGGCATAGAGGGCAGAAAATTCTCGACCAGAAGATACGAATACAAAAAAATCAACTGGAACATGTTCAAAGTGAAGATGGATGCTGAGGCCAGCGAGATGCTGAGTGAGGAGCATGAGGTGGGAAATGAAATAGAGGAAGAACTAAAACTAAGAGAGGCAATATATAGAGGCCTAGAAGCGGCGGGAGCCACGAAAATTAAGCAAACTCACAACAATCAAGGTAGGGCCACTGAAAGCAGAAAAAAAAGAAATAGACAAAGGTGGTAGGACGACGAATGCGATGGAGTAAGGGAAGAGAAAAGGAGAGCCCTTATCACCTTTAACAGAAGACCAAACGAAGATACATGGAACAACTATAAGATATGTGACAGGAGAATGAAAGCTATGGTCAAAAAGAGGAAAAGAGAATCCTGGGAAAAGTTCGCGGAAAGCATCAATCACAGCTCGGACTGTAAATCCCTATAGGAAAATATAAAAGGGTTACAAAAGGGGAGAAAACACCAACAGAATCTCATGACCAACGAGGAAAGAAGTGAGCTGGAACAAGCGGAAGCGGATAAAATATTTGACGATGATATACTAACATCATCAACGGGCGCCGAGATTACTACGCAAGAACAAAGGATAATGTATGCAAGTGAACCAGCCGAAGCATATGAGCGACCACTGAGCACGAAGGAGATCTCGAGTGCCGTAGAAAGAATGAATAAAAAGTCAGCCCCGGGAAAAGATGGAATTGACAATAAAACGATAGGTACGTTGCCCTTCAGTTTCCTAAAGATAATGCTAAGATTGTTCAACAGGATATGGGAAATGGGGGTGATACCACCGAGCTGGAAAACGGCTGCGGTGATCCTCCTAGACAAACCCGGGAAAAAGGCGTTAAGACCGATAGTTCTGACCAACTGTATGGGTAAACTAATGGAAAGAATAGTGAACACCAGGTTGGTTAATTAGGCGGAAGAAAATAATATCATGCACGAGTGGCAAAACGGATTCAGAAGGGGAAGATCGACGATCGATAACCTGATCAGAATAAGAACAGACGTACAGAGTGGCTTTCACAATGGCAGAGCCACACTAGCGGCGTTTCTCGACGTTAAATCGGCATACGACAGGGTCGATCATGGTATGCTCCTGTCAATCCTAATGAAAAAAAGGTGCCCAACAAAAATATTCAAATATATTAAGAGCTGACTAGAAGACAGAACTGTCACGGTGATCAGAAGATTCGAGGAAGATGTGGAGGGAACAATAAAAAGAGGACTCCCCCAGGGATCGGTACTGAGCTCTATCCTGTACAATATCTACACAAGCGACATTATGGAGCGAATTGACGATGAAGAGATAGTAAAACTACAATTCGCGGACGACATAGGCATATACGTTTCGACGGAAGATCAAAGAATAGGTAACGGTAGAAAAATGGAAAATGCCCTTGACAAGATTGTAGAGAACCTGAACAAAATAGGGCTAGGCCTGTCCATAGAAAAAACGGTGATAGTAAATTGATCAAGATGGCGAAGAACAAGGAGCTCAGACCACAGAGCCAACCAACCTGTAGAAGTAAGGGTGGGAAATACTAGAATAACAGAATCAAACGAGGCAAAGTTCTTGGGGGTTATGTTTGATAAGAAATGCTACTTTAAAGAGCACACTAGAAACGTTGAAAAAACAACTAGGGACAGGTTGCACATGCTGAGGTACATCGCGCATATCGCGAGGGGAGTCGATCAAAGAATCATGTTGGTACTGTACAAGGCGCTCGTGAGGTCGGTGGTCGAGTACGGGGCTATGATATATACCGATGGCAGTGTTAACAATGTAGATAGAATGAATAAGATACAGAATGCAGGGATGAGGGTAGCGATGGGATATAGAATATCGACTCCAGCCAATGTCATGCACGTGGAAACGGGTATAATGGCGTTTAGAAATAGAATAGAGTTGCTAACGGGTAAATACCTCCTTAAAAAAATAGGAAACCGTAGGGGCGCATTCGTCGAATGGCTGTACGAAGCTTGGGAAGGGTTCAGTAATAGGTTGGAAAACAAATGGACTTATGTGATAAAAATTTTCAGAAAAAACATAGACCTGATGGAATCAGCGAGGGCTGGCGCGGAGCGTCCGGTGGTGGAATTGGCGGCCTGCCCTGAACCCTGGATAAAATGGAGAGCGGGTGAGATGATGGTATTACCGGAAGCGGCCCTGATGAGTGTCCCAGCTGAAACCAGACAGCGGTACGGCTCGATAGACGAGGAGATTTGCCGAGATGTAAACACCGATGGCGAACGAGAGGAGCCCAGGCGGTGGTTGTGCAGCCGTGGTGGTGACGAAACAGCAAAATAACTGGGAGGAGAATACGTTCAGCATGAACCCTGGAGCCACAATCTTCACTGCGGAAGCAGTGGCGGTGGCGGAGGCCCTCAGGTTGTACAGTCAGTCCGGTGATGGTAGAAGACTGCTCGTTTATAGTGATTCTGCGAGTGTGTTGAAGGTACTAGAAGCTGCAAAAAACAAAGATATTAAAGACATTGTTAAGATGAAAAGAGGAGAAATTGTGGCGAAAATTATGAAAGAATTATGTGAAATATACTTAATGAAAAACTTACCGTTGAATGAGACTGTGAACCGGAAAAAAAACGCCAGTGGTATTTGTGTGGGTGCCTGCGCATAGAGGAATCGCGGGTAATGAGAGAGCGGACGCGGCGGCCAAAAGGGCCACGGAACAAACCCCGAATTGTGAATACGCGTTACCGTACGAAGACATGCTAGTGAATCTGGTAAGGAATGCGTGGAAAGAGTTCGCGACGGAAATGAGAAACGAAGCGCGATACAAAGATGTTAAATACTTTAGCGAAATAGATACGAACAAACAGCGCCGAAAACCGTGGTTTGAAAAATTCGTTACCCAAGACAGAAGGACAATATCGGTGCTCAGCAGAATAAGAGCCAACCACTACAACCTGAGCGAGTCACTGGCGAGGAAACACGTGGTGGAGGACCATGGATGCGACTGTAGAGAGCACGTGGAGGACCTGGCTCACGTCCTCTGGGAATGCGAGAAGTACGATCACATCAGGGACGAATTCGTAGCGAAGATGCGAGAAAAGGGTTCAGCGGCAGACCACAATACCAAGACCTTGTGAGAAAAGAAAGACCGGCTGTATGCGTGGCGGTTGCGAGATTTCTAATAAAAACGGGAAGAATAATTTAATACGCGTGCGTGGCATGATGGAGTCGCTATTCTCGGTAAAACCGGCTCTAGCGGGTGTGAGTATGAGAGAGAGAGAGTGTGAAGCGAGAAAGAGGATGAGGGATGGAGGCGGCGCCGGCTGGGGGCGCCTGCCGCATGGCGGGTAAAAATTAAATGACAAAGTGGAGGTTTATAATCTTTATAAGAAAAATAGAGAAGCGAAAGTAAAATGGTAGAAATAATAAAAGACCCTGGCCCAAAATAGCCGACTACCGCGTGCGGGGGCCCTGAAGCCGGGTGTCCGTCCCTAGGATGAGTGGAAGGATGAACGACCTGTAAAAGAAAGAAAAGAAAAGACAAAATCATACCCCTTTTGGGAATGCGGTAATGGCGAACTAAACATGTCGAGCATGTAAACGGAATCAGACCTTCAAGGCAACAGAATAGAGTCAGCAAGGAATTAAATGATATTGACAAAGTAGAGTAAACTAGAAGTTCAAAGAAATAGTAGACTTGAAGGATGGTTACCGATAGCTCGGCTGATAAGGAGTAAGGAAGGATAACTGCAAGTATGATGGTGTGAATGGAGTGTGTGGGAGTGAAAATGTGAAATACTCAAAGTAAGGAAAGTATGTAAATAAATTTCTAACAATAGTAATAGAATAATCAAATGTAAACTAGGATAGGCATTAAGTTGTAAAATTGTAAAGAAAAGATATCTGTAATTCAAATAAGAAGCGCTGATACACTTCGATACAAAATACGATAGAAAACATGACTATAGAAACGAGGGAATACATGGATACAAAAGTATGGAACGAGTGAAAATGTAAAAGTATGGATTAAAAACAAAGCGAAAACATGTAAAAATAAGATAAAGCACAAAGAGGAAAATTAGCTTTTCAAAATGCGCGGGAGTTTTGGCCCTAGGCGCGGGCACGAGAGCGTTCGTTGGGCAACACGGGGACGGAAAAGTCCCCAAAAATGCCAACCCCTTGCCTTCGGGGGTGCTAAAGCACCCGAAAAGCAAATTGGGAAAGTTTTGATTGATTGATACCCCCTGTGGCTCGGGGAGCTTAGAATACGGCCACGGTATCCCCTACCTGTCGTAAGAGGCGATTAAAAGGGGTCACACAGACACATACGCACACGTACACACACATACACACCGATTCGGACAAAAGATGAGCAGACTCTAAAAGTATGGACTGAGTAAGATTTAAAAGTATGGACAGGTATAAGTGACGAAATTTAAAAATGCGCGGGGTTTGGTGTTGGCGGGCTGCCAGCACATCCCCGAAGGCGCGTGGCCGATAGGGTTCATTGCGCAATACGGGTGTTGCAAACCTCGCCTGTATGTATGTGTGCAATATCGAGTGAATTTAGCTGCAAGCTTGTAATCACAAGCGTTGAATGAAATGTAATATGGCGACGATGCCATAAGAGTATGGTTGCAGCATGTCTGCATTATGTTATATCAATGCTCATAAATTAGGAGCCAAAATTCAAAGGAATAAACAAATAAAAGATAGGACACTGTAAACCTTTCAGCGCGGTGATCGTGTTGAGAGAGAGTTGGAAATCCGGAGAAATAAGACTGTCACACTTGAAGTTTTTAAGAAACTAATTTATTGCGGGCCGTATCTAATTCGTTACTCTTAACGAAAATCCTGTTGGTTCTTGAAACTGTTGAAGTCTCTTCGACATCCTGCTTATATACAGAGGGTAGTAAATTCTCTTAAGGGTTGCCTTGGCTCGCTAGCGCGAGACCTTTTTCTCTTTCGTTCTCTCTGGATCCCACGCTTTCTCTTAGCACGTGTGCATGGAATCGTTCTCGAGTCTTGGCGGGGCACCACCATCTTTCACTCGCCCAAGGGTGGACCGAAGCCAGGGAGAGGGACCGCCTCCGGACAGGGATGGGCTCCTCCACCATTGGGCCAGGGATGATCCTGAGGGAGGATTCAGGATCTAGCGAGGAGGGGATGGCAGCCTGCATACATTTTTGTCAAAGTTATAGTCACGAAATAAAGTCGTATAAATTTTTATTTCTTACGCAAAGGTGTTTTGATTTATTAAAAGCCGCGCCGCGAGCAGAGCGCTTCAGCGCTCCACGGGCACCTTACCCACGTTCGGCAAATTCTAAATATCCCTAGAACACTAAATCCACACGCAACAGGGGACAGATAAGTCCCCAAAAGCGCCGGCCCTTAGGGGCGAAATTAGTGAGTTGAGTTGATTGATTGATTGATTGACAGGTATAGGTTATAGTGAAAAACATGTGGAAATTGAATGCAGTTACTTTCTTACAAGATATATCTGGAAGTATGTTTAAGGTAAAAGAAATATCAAATCTTACTTTCTTCAATACATTCTTTATTCCAAATTAATGTTGTTGAGTAAAATGTATCAAATATATAATAATATGATTTATTCTTCTTTATTTTCAGCATTTATTCAGACATTGATGAGGGAATTACAACCAAAAAATTATGAGTAGAATTGTTGAATAGTTACATTACAGAAAATTAAACAGTGCGGAATGAAATACTAGGGCAAATGAGAAAAACGTACTCTGAAAACAGATGCAATTACTTTCTCGTAGGATATATAAGGAAATATGTTTAAAGTAAAAGAAATATTAAATCTTATTTTTTTCAATACATTCTTTATTCCAAATTATATTGTTGAGTATAATGTAGCAATATATAGTAATATGATTTCTTTTTCTATATTTTCAGCATTTATTCTGTTAGTTTATCTGGAAACAATCAGGTAACAAAAACAAGTCCAGTGTCAAAGGATACGGACAGAGTCATGGTTATACAACGGTCTTTAGGTTGGGGACGATGGGTGTATAGAGTTTTCAGGAATGGCTCTGAGCAATAAAACTCCGGGCATTTCTATATTTAGTTTTCTAAGTGGATCCAATAGGGGTTTTTCCGCTGACAACTCCTCACTTCAACTTTAGTTTTCAAACTGTGCAGACGTCTTCTGAGTGTTCATTTGAGAAATAAATTCATTTCGTGTTTTAGAAACTGTATCATTATTTTTAGTTTAATACCCATTTCCAATATATTCTGTCACGTCCTGTGACGCATTCTTGGAACCCTTATTTCGCCATCCACATTCTTTAAACTCTTATTTCATTATCCGAATTCATAGTTCCGAAAAGTCTGAGTGAGCAGCTCGCTCGGGTCAACGTATCGCAAGAACGCTGACAATCCGAACGAGGTGGTTCACCCCGAACTGACAACCAAACGATTGACCTCGCTCATCAATATATAATAACGCGACCAAGCCCGCTCGCGACAGATCCAATATCGCGCAGAACCAGTACAGAACCCGTGTAGACAGAACAGTATAATTTTTATCAACCCCAGAATTTGTAGTGATCAGATCACCTAAGCGATCCGCGAAAGCTGTTCGGAATCGGCCCAGTTCGTCTAGCGAAAATCGAGATACCAATTCTAAGACGCGCACCTAACTCGCGAAGATCGACCTCTGCTACGGAACTCAGGGATCCGACAGAGCAACCTCATCCGTAAAGCGCGCGCAAGTTAAAGGTTGTACTCGCAACAAATAACATTTGTTGTGATCAGAAGTGCGTGAACCTCAATTAGACATCTACCCTACCGACTCCACTAACCAAGACGACTCATCTCTACAGGTATCCGCGCCCAGCGAAAGGTAAGTAAGAACCCCCTACCAAATCAGTAGCTTAGAGATAATTATACAAGTGCGCAGAGGACTCGGTGAGAGAGGGGACCCTGCGACTTCACAGTGGTTCCGGTACGAATTGAACGCAACGAACGCTACTAACCTGTAATATAGGGTAGACTCAAGAAAAAAACTCTAGCTCGAGAATATAAATCTTTGTCTGCAACCTTAGAAAAATCCAAGTCATTCACTTTCGAATCAATTTTATATACAACACAAGAATTATTGAAATACTGCTACGAAGCATACATAAAAATCTCTTAAATATAAAACGAACTCATTTACCCTCTAAATAATCACAAATAATGAAAATTTCAAATGAATAATAAAAATCTTAAACCAACGGATAACAAAAATACTACGGACGGAAACAGATTAACAAGAAGCAGGACACAAGAAAATCCTGAACTTAAAAGTATTGTAGAAGATCGTAATTACGCGTCAGCCTTTTTACAAAGCCGTAAAACACCGCGCTCACCAACAGAACGAAGAACATTTGACTTCACACCAGAAGTCACAGCCGAGGCGTCAAACGCGAATACAAATCTAGGTGCAATACCCAGAACAAAGAATGTTAAAAATCTAACAGTAAACACTAACCAAACGGAAAACGGAAGTGCCAACTGGCAAAACAAGAGTATAGGATTTACAATTAACCCAAGTAACGAAGCAGATAATAACAAACAAACAGGAACTTTCGCATCCCCACTAATTCGAATAAGTCCCCAGGATAACAGAAACAATACCGAAATACTAAACGAAACAATAAACAACAGCTGCAAAAAACGACATATCCCTACTCGAAATTGAAGGAATCACAGAACAACCAAGCCTAATAGGAAATCTGGACGGAGAGAATAGCGAAGGAAATTTAACACTCACCTGCGTAAGTCCGAGAAAGAAAATTGACAGACCAACAAATTCAAATCCAACCTCTAAGATTACCCTTGAAATACGTAGCAAACCTAGTACCCCGAATTCGACGGGAAAAATATTTCAGTTACCGAATACGTTGAAAAAGTAAAACATGCTAAAAACATTATAACACCCGTAGACGAACCAAGCCTAATCCCGATCCTAAAAATTAAATTAAAAGGAGAGGTATACAAAGCACTAATAAACTCACCGATAAATAACGTAAACGATTTTATTCAGGCAATAAAGTCATTATTCCCATCCACCGAAAATATACACAGTTTATATGGAAAATTAACAGAACTAACACAAAAACCAGGC